CACACACACACACACACACACACACATAAAACATGAGAATATTCACAGTGTCACTCTGATACAGTTGCTGTTCACATTTTGACACATTTCCTTCCATCTTTTTCCTGTGTATTGTTTTTCATGCGGTTGAGATTAAATGGTATTTATAATTTTGGAAACCCAGAGGCAACTCTGCATGGAAAAGCTCTGCATAATCTTGTAATGAAAATAGCTATATAATTGGCCATGGGGGTGGGCTATTATTTAATGAATCCCATGCCATGGATGTTATGGTTGTCCAAAGGCTTGCCCATAGAAATCAAATGGAGTGGACATCTTCGTGCATGAAGCTTTGCCCAATTTTTGGATTGTCTTATTGGGACAGATTTCCAGAAATAAAATGTCTGAACATTTTAAAGGCATAAAATGTATAATATTAACCTTTTAATTGAAAAAACAATAGGTAAAATGCACCTATTTGAAAATTAGTAAACTGGGAAAATGAATTCTCCCACTTCCCCTCCCCATCTTGAAACCAATGGCATCACCTGCTCTTACCAGATACTATATTGGTTGAGAGCTTTATTGAGGTGTAATTCACATATCATAAAATCCACCCATATAAAGTAGACACGTTAACATCCAGTGCTTTTTAGTTTACTTACAGAGTTATGCAACCATCACAATATTTTTAAAAAATTTTACCACTCCAAAAAGAAATCCCATACCCACTGGCACGCACTCTGCATTTTTCTCCAACCCACCCTCACCCCTAGGCAACCATATATCTATCTTCATTCTATTTTGCCTATTCTGGACATTGTATATAAATGAGGCATACAATATGGTCTTTTGTGTCCAGCATCTTTCACTTGGTGTAATGTTTTCCGGGTTCCTTCCTGTTGCAGCGTATGTCAGAGCTGTCATATGGACAAACCACATGATTTGTTCATTCGTCAGGAGATGGACATTTGAGTTGTTTCCACTTTGGGACTATTGCAAATAACATTGCTATGAGCGTCAGTGTATAGTTTTTGTGTGGCATTCTGTTTTCATTTTTCCTAGGTACCTACCAAGAATGGAAGTGCTAGGTCATAAGGTAACTCGGTGTTTAGTCACTTGAGGAAATGCCAGACTGTTTTACAAAGCAGCTGAACCATTTTACATCCTCACCAGCTGTGTATTCTTACCAGTTTCTTGCATTCGCTTCCATAAAAAGTCTGCACCAGCTGGGCACAGTGGCTCACGCCTGTAATCCCAGCACTTTGGGAGTCTGAGGCAGGCGGATCACGAGGTCAGGAGATCAAGACCACGGTGAAACCCCGTCTCTACTAAAAATACAAAAAATCAGCCGGGCGCGGTGGCAGGCACCTGTAGTCCCAGCTACTCAGGAGGCTGAGGCAGGAGAATGGCATGAACCTGGGAGGCAGAGCTTGCAGTGAGCCGAGATCACGCCACTGCACTAAAGCCTGGGTGACAGAGCAAGACTCCATCAAAAAAAAAAAAAAAACCTGCACCTATATAGGCACATATGTATAAATGTCCCTTATTATTTCCTCTTATGGAAATGTTAACAAACTAGACACACTGTTCTGGGCATTGATTTGTTTTTTCATGTAACAGTGTATTCAGGAGATCATTCTGCATCTGCAGCTAAGGAGCTGCCCCCCTTTTTTTGTTACAGTTGCGTGTATTCCCCTGTGGTGGATTCGCTGACCTAATTTAACCAAACCTCTACTGATGGCTATTTGGGATGTGTTCAGTCTTTTTACTTCTTCATCTGATGCTGTAATAAATAGCCTTACACATATATGTTTTTGCATGTGTGTTAATATATCTGAATTAGTCTAAAGTGTTCAAAAGAATTTGAATATTCGTTTTGATACATTTTGCTAAATGCTACTCCATAAACATTGTTCCAGTCTGTTCCCCTATCAGGAGTGTCAGAGAGGAATATTTCAGTATTTGAGTTGGACAGAGTGTTTCCTTTCAAGAGGAATGTTGCAGTATTTGTCCTTTTGTGACTGGCGTATTTCACTGAGCAGAATGTCCTCAAGGTTCACCCATGGTGTCGCACGTGTCAGAATTTCCTTCCCTATCAAGTCTGATTTCATTGTATATACAGACCACATTTTGTTCATGTTTTCATCTGTTAGTGTACACTTGGGTTGCTTCCACCTTTTGTGTATTGTGAATGGTGCTGTTAGGAACATGGGCGTGCAAATACAGAGTGCACTTGTAACATTCTAAATTAGATTCTGTCCCTTTCCTGCTCAAACCTTCCAAAGAATGAGTAAGAAGGAGCCAGCTTAGGCCAGACCTGAAGGAAGAGCATTTTGGGCAGAGGGAACAGCTAGTGCTAGTGCCCTGAGGTATATTCGAAGAGAGAAGGAAGGCTGGCAGGGCTGGAGCAGAGCCCAAGGGGCGGAGCAGATGTGGGGACAGGGTGGGGGTCAGAGTCAGGAATACACATTTGGGCACCACAAGTTTTCATTACCTGCCACTCTGGGTAGTTCATGAGAGACAGCAGCCTGCAAGGATGAGGACTCGGGCTCTGGAGACAGCCCATGGGGTTCAAAGCGTGGCTGTCCCACGCATTAGCTGTGTGCTTTGGTCCAGGAACCTACCCTCTCTGTGCCTTGGTTTCTTTTTCTTTTTCTTTTTATTTCTTTATCTCCACCTTCCAGCCTCCCTCCAGTGCCCCCTATTGACAGAGCTTAACGGAGAGTAGCTACTAAGGTAGAAACAGCACCGGATCGCTGAGTCAAAGCCCGCAGACCTCTGTGCAGAGTGTGGAAGGTGGGCTTTGGGGATGAAAGACAATCATTTAATCACTTTTAAACAGGCATACTATATTATAATGTTAGTGCCTGCCTCGTAGGTCTGTTTTAAGTTAATAATGGATGAATCAATATGTGCCAAGCACAGTATCTGTTTCTCAAGGCTGCTGTAAATAAGTACCACAGACTGTGCAGCTTAAACAGAGGACATTTATTCTGTCACAGTTCTGGAGGCTGGAAGTCCGTGATCAAAGTATCTGCAGTACCACACTCCCTCTGAAGGCTCAAGGGAAGGCTCTGTTCCAGGCCTCTCTCCCATCTGCTGGCAAGTTCCCTGGCTTGTGGCAGCATAACTCCATTCTTCACACAGCCTTGTCCTTGTGTGCATGTCTGTCTCTGTCCACATTTTTCCTTTCTGAAATGCAAATTAAAACCACAGTGAGACACCACCTTACCCCAGCCAGGATGACCATTATTAAAAAGTCAAAAACCAATAGATTGGCATGGATGTGGTGAAAAGGGAATGCTTATACACTGCTGCTGGGAATGTAAATTAGTACAACTTCTTTGGAAAACAGTATGGAGGTTTCTCAAAGAACTAAAAGTAGATCTACCATTTGATCCAGCAATCTCACTACTTGGTGTCAACCCAAAGGAAAATAAGTAATTATATCAAAAAGACACCTGCACATGTATGTTTATTGCAGCACAATTCACAATTGCAAAGATATGCAGTCAACCTGAGTGCCCATCAACCAATGAATACGTGCCCATCAACCAATAAAGAAAATGTGATACACACACACACACATATAGAGATCACATTTATACACATACACACATACATACATACACATACCATGGAATACTACTCAGCCTTAAAAAAGAATGAAATAATGTCTTTTCCAGCAACTTAGATGGAACTAGAGGCCATTATCCTAAGTTAAGTAACTCAGGAATGGAAAACCAAATGCTGTGTGTTCTCACTTATGAGTGGGAGCTAAGCTATGGATATACAGAGGCATACTGAGTGGTATAATAGACTTTGGAAACTCAGAAGGGGGCAAGGTGGCAGGGGGGTGAGGGATGAAAAACTACATATTGGGAATAATGTACACTATTCAGGTGATGGGTGCACTAAAATCCCAGACTTTACCACTGTACATTTCATCCCTGTAACCAAAAATTACCTGTACCCCTAAAACTATTGAGATTTTAAAAATTAAAAAACAAATTTCCCCTTTCGATAAGGACACCAGTCCTGTTGGATTAGGGCCCCCACCCCCACTCCAGGATGACCTCATTTTAACTAATTACATCTGCAGCAGCCCTGTTTCCAAATAAGGTCATGTTCTTGAGGCCTTGAAGGTTGGGACATCAACATATGAATTGGGGGGGCTCAACTCAGCCCACACCAACCACTTAGAGTAGTACCTGGCACATAGCAGCTGCTGCATAATGTCTGGTGTTGCCTACCTCATCATCACCATCCACCCTGCTCCGCCAGGTTCTTCCAGTCCACAGGCTTGTGACATTTACCACAAAGCGCTGCTCCTTCCGCGTGGACTTCTCTCCACTCCCCAGCAGTCTCATCTGCCTTTTTACCTTTGGGTCTTGATCCAAACTCTCTTCCCTACCCAGAATCTCCCCCTAAAGACCCAACCACCAGTTCTCTTCACAGACTACTCAGTCTTCCTGGGCACCCCCTGTAGCTGACATTACTCAGGCACCTGGAGACCTCTGTTCATACCTTCATGATTGATTGCATTTACCAAGTTACGTGTCTTTGCCTGTCTGTGCCATGAGGAATTAGTTCGTGAACTTTTTGTGTCTGTATCCCAGACCTGGGCTTGCTGCCTGGCGCTTAGTAGGGGCTCAGAAAAGTTAGCTGTGCCCCTGGATTCCATCTGGGGCTTTGCCTCTGCTGTGCTCCTAATGCACTTGTTGATTCACTGGGTTAGACTCACTTTGCCTTCAGTTCCTTTGCATCTGGTTCTCAGATCTATGACCTTCTGTTCCAGAATGTCTCTCATGGGATTTATTTCTCTGTCAGAGTGCCAACCCAATATAACTAGACACAGAGAAAACTGTGAGTGATCCCTTTAGAACCCTGCATCTTATTGAAATCACTTCAGCTACATCCCATCTGCCTCCCCTAAATCCTCTTGGCTTTTCTGGCCATTCCACCAGGCCTCTGTAAGGAGGGCCCTGCGATGAGCGGATGTGGGTTTCCTCTTACAGGAGTCAGTGACGTTCAGGGATGTGACTGTGGACTTCACCCAGGAGGAGTGGCAGCAGCTGGAGCCTGCCCAGAAGGACCTGTACAGGGATGTCATGCTGGAGAACTACAGGAACCTGGTCTCACTGGGTAAGGGGCAGCTTCGTTGAGTTACTCATCATTGGCCCATAACTTCAGGACCACAAATAAATTTAAAAAAAAAAGACCAACAGATCTGACTACATGAAAAGTTTTAAAATTTGCTCTACTTGAAGCTAAAAATAAAGTTGATAGATGATGGTATGGGAAATAATATTTCTCACATGTTTTACATTCAAAGGGTCATAATTATGTTAGCAGCTCCTGGGAATAAGAAAAAGACTAAGCGAATGATAGAATGGACCAAACTTATAAGTTGGTGATTCATAGATACAGAAATACACAAAGTTACACTTTATAAAAGTTTTTTAAACCTTACTACTGGAGACACACAAATTGAGATACCAGCAGTTTTTGCCCATGAGGTACACAAAGATCAAAAAAGAATAATAGCCTATATTATGAGGCTATAGAGAAAAGGACTCCCATTGTAGGGGTATAAAGTTGCAACAGCTCTTTGGGAGGATAGCTTGGCCTTATCAATCAAATATTGAAGGATTCCGTTTTTAGAGATCTGTCCTTTAGAAATTCTCACGTAAATATGCAAAGTTTTCCATGGGAAGAAAAATCAAGGAAAATGACCTAAATGCCCAGCTGCCTAAGACTGACTGAACGTATCAAGGCCTATCAATGTGATGGAAACCGGGCATCTCTTCAAAGCTGAGGACTGTTTGTAGGCACTGCCATGAAAAGATGTCCCACAACATACTGTGAGGTGAAAACACTCACTTTTGGAATCAGAGTGTGGTCCTATTTCTTTAACAGCTTTTCTGGAAGTATTATTGACCTATAATTAACTGCACATATATAAAGTGAAGAGTTTGATGCATTTTGACGTAGTGCATACCCACGAAACCATCAACGTGATCAAGATAAAGGACACATATCCATCATCCCCAAGAGTTTCCTCATCCTCCTTTATTACCCCTCTCTCCCCCTCCTCAACCCCCATCTCAGGAATCCGCTGGTCTGCTTTATGTCGCTGTGGTTGAGTTTGCATGCTCTCCAGTTTTATATACATAGAATCATACAGTATGTACTCTTTTTTTTTTTTTTTTTTGGTCTGGCTTTTTTTTTATTTGACTTGGCATTATTTTGAGATTCACCCATGTCACTGCATGTTTCATAGTTCATTTATTTTTATCTCTGTGTATTATTCCACTGTATGGGTATGCCACAATTTATTTAGCCATTTGCCTGGTCAACATTTGGGTCATTTCCAGTTCTGGGCTATTAGAAATAAAGCTGCTGTGAACATTTGTGAACAGTTCTTTGTGTAGACATTTGCTTTTCCTTCTGTTGAGTGGAAAGTCTGGATCATGTGCTACATGTATATTTAACTTGTTTAAGAAACTGCCAACCTGTTTTCCAAAGTGACTGTTCCCACCAGCAGTGCACAAGCTTCATTCCAATTGCTTTATATTTTAAATTTAGCCTCCCTTGTAGGTATGTGGTCTCATCACTGTGCTTTTCATCTGATATTGACACTTGTAGGTGTGTGGTCTCATCACTGCGCTTTTCATTTGATACGGATAATCTTTTCATGAGCTTATTTGATGTTTGTATATTCTCTTTGGTAAAGTATCCGTTCAAGTGTTTTGCCTGTTTTTTCCCCCCCATTGGGTTCTTTATTATTGAATTTTGAAAGTTCATTATGTATTCTTGATACAAGTTTTATCAGATATATGCTGTGCAAATATTTCCTCCCATTCTGTGGATTGTGTTTTCACTTTCTTGATGGCATTATTTCTGACTCTAAAGTTTTTAATTTTGATGTAGTCTGATGTATCTATTTTTTGTTGTTCTTGTTGCCTATATTTTTGACGTTATAGCTAAACAGTCTAACCCAAAGTCATGAAGATTTATTCCTGTGTTTTATTCTAAGGTTTTAGTGGTTTACCTCTTTACTGAGGTCTTTGATTCATTTTGAATTAATTTTTGTGAATGATGTAAGAAAGGGACTCAGCATCATTCCTTTGCATGTGAATATCCAGGTGCCCCAGCGCTATTTGTTGAAGAGCAGAAGTTTTTAATACAATGAAGTCCAGTTTATCAATTTTTTGGTTTTGGTGTCATTTGTAAGAAATCTTGGCCTATCCCAAGACTTCAGAGGTTTTCTTCTGTAAGTTATATAGTTTTAGGTTTTACATTTTGTTCTTTGATCTATTTAAATTTCTTAATATGATATAAAGTATTAATCCAAGTTTATTGGGGTATGTGGGGAGGGGGGACAAATGTATGTCCAGTTGTCCAACACCATTTGTTAAAAAGACCCCTTTCTCCAATGAATTGCCTTTGCACTTTTGTCAGAAATCACTTGTCCATACAAGTGTGGGTCCAATTCTGAATCCTGTTCTGTCCATCTGTTTGTCTGCCTTTGCATCAGTACCAAGCAGTGTCATCCTTTCAGATCTTGCTTTTATGACTCATGCCCAGTCTAGAATGACATTCTCCTAAAGACCATTCTGGGTGTTCTGCCCAAAACCCCACGAATGACGAGGTTTTACAGTCTGACTGGTAGGAAAAGGCACTCTTCTCAGCCCTGTGTCAGCTCTGGGCACTGTTTTCAAATCCTTTCAGATGGTTTTTTTCCTGTGTTGGGTAGTTTCCTGACTTGCATGTTTTGACCAACAGACTGCTGAATACTGGAGGGAGTTCCTTGCAGGTCTTCAGAACACTCTCTGTGCAGCATATTCCTCTCTAGTCTGTCCTGGGAACTCTATCTACCTTGGTCTCTCAGCTCCATCTCCTCAACTTGGGGAGTTGGCCAGACTGTACCTCAATTTACCTTTCCTTTGTCAGAGCCTGGAAACTTCCCAGGCAGTAAGCTGGGGCAGTCGTAGGACCCACCTTGTTTGATTTTCTTCTCTCAGGGATTGTTGCCCTTCCTTGCCTGATATTCAGTGTCTTCACATCCATTGTTTTATATATTTTGTTTTAGGCTCAAGGGAATCTCATCCTTTATACTCCATCTTGGATGAAAACCCCATTTGGGGGAAAAATGGGTGTGTGCATGTACAGGTGTGTTGTGTGTATTTTTTTAAAGGTATGTGTTGGAGGGGAGTCTAAAATATAAACCAAACTGTTAACTCTGGTGAGTAAGATTACAGGAGATTTCTGTTTTCTTTTCTTTTCTTTTTCTGAGACAGAGTCTTGCTGTGTCGCCCAAGCTGGAGTGCAGTGGCATGATCAGAGCTCACTGCGACCTCCGCCTCCCAGGTTCAAGCAATTCTCCTGCGTCAGCCTTCTAAGTAGCTGGGATTACAGGTGCCTCAGCCTCTCAAGTAGCTGGGATTACAGGTGCCCGCCACCACACCCAGCTAATTCTTGTATTTTTAGTAGAGATAGGGTTTCACCATGTTGGCCAGGCTGGTCTCGAACTCCTGACCAAGTGATCTGCCTGATTCAGCCTCCCAAGGTGCTGAGATTACAGAGACTTCCATTTTCTCCGTTCCATTTTGGCGTTTGATGTTTTAAAAACAAGTGTAAATTACTTTGTAATCAGAAACAAGCATAGAAAGACAGAAAACTGAAAAACTATGAAGGACAAGAGATTTAGCAATGTGAAAAAACAATGCACCTACACTTGTATCAAAAGGAATGAATGGCATTTTGCACATTAACGGCTTTTGGCGACAGTGCCCTGTGCAGAAGCTTGGGATGTCTCCCATGACAGTGGCCTTGCCATCAGACTTTCTGTTCTTTTGCTGACCTGATTAGAGAAAAGGTGTGATCGGGTAGTTTTAATCTGGGTGGGGTGGACTTGTGTTTTCACAGCTGTCATGGTTAACGCTGAGTGTTTGCTGTTTGCAGATGATCTCTACTGCAGGGTTTTAACTAGTGAAAGGGAAGTGGCTTCCTTCCCCCTGTCCCTCTGCTGGTATTCTTCCCCCAGCTCTCCTGATTTCTCGAGGTCGTGTTCACTCCAGGAGACTTCCGGCTGTATTCACAACCAAGACTCCTGGTCCTCTCCAATCACTGCCAGCTCATATTCCAGAGCATCTCAGACTCCACGGGCCCCAAACCAAATTCACCATCACCCCTGGAGACAGTCTTCTTTCCGCCGAGTCTACATCCCACACTACCATCTGTGCCAACATCTGGGCATTGTGCCACACCCTGACTAGGGTCTCTAAACCACAATCGTTCACCTGCATTAAGTATTTCTCAGCTCTTTTCGTCTGAGATGGGAAAAGTGATGCATGGTAATATAGCCACTCCTCAGGAGCCACAGCTCAGGGGCCACACTGCTAGGGCTTGAATTCTGCTGTGCCTCAGGTGTATTGTGTGCCCTTGAGTACATCTCTGACTCCATTCTTGGAATCTCCGTTTCCCCGTCAGCAAAATGGGGATGGTCATAACTGTCTACTACTGTATGTAACTCAAGTATGATTGTGAGGGTCTCCAGAGATCCATGCAAATTGCTTAGCACTGTGCCAGGCGTGTTGCCAGTGCTCCATACTCACTTATCTGGTGCCTACCATGTGCAGGCTGTGTGAGGAGCTGGGGGGTGAGCAAGGCCCTTGCCTCTAGTGGAGCTGACTCCTGCTGGGGGCTGACAATAAACAGATCAAGGGACAGGCAGAGAAGAATTGCCACAGGTCACTGAGGGTTCATAAAGAAGTGGGCAGGAGGACCTTCCTTCCTTCCATAGGGTGGATTGGGAAGGCTCCCGTGGGATTGTGGGGAAACAGGCCTGAAGGATAAGGACGTCCACGGCAGGTCCACAGGACAGTGGGTACAGAGGCCCGGAGGCAGGAAGAACACACGGACAAGAGGGAGAGCATGGTGATGAGAAGTTGGGAGGGAGGGTGGGCAGGGGACGACTCAAGCAGGCCTGCTGGGTGCTGAGAGCCCTGAGGCTGCTGAAGGTGCTGGCATTCTCAGTACAGTAGGGAGGCCACAGGAGGGCTTGATCTGACTCCTCAGAAGACCGCACTCCCGGAGGAGTGGAGGACGCATCACAGGGGTGAGAATGGGGTGGGGAGGACAGAGAGGAGCTGCTGTTGCATTTCTGGCAAGGGCCCACGGTGGCCAGCCAGCTCTTTTGTCAGTGGGGACCGAGAGATTTGGTCTGATTCAGGCTGTTTGTGCACAGCGACGCTTGCCAAGGGTCAGTACGGTGGGAGGGAAAGGGCAAGTCAGGGTGTCTGCTAAGTCTCTCTCAAACAATTTTTTAAATTTTATAATTAAAACTATGAAAAATATATATAGAACATAAAGTGTACCATTTTAACCACTTTTAGGAGTACAGTTCAGTGGCCTTAAGGACATTGACGTTGTTGTGCAGCCATCACCGCCATCCCTCCCCAGAACTCTTTTCATCTCCCGCAAATGAAACCCTATCCCCTAATCACCAACTCCCACCCACTCCTCAGCCCCCGGCATCCTCTGTTCTGCCGTCTGTCTCTGGGAATCCGACCTCCAGGTACCGCAGATGAGTGGAATCACATAGCATTCATCCTTCCATGTCTCACTTATTTTACTGAGTCTCTTTGATGGGCTTTGCTTTTTTAAAAAAATGTTTTTCGTGGGGAAAGTCTGAAATCCCAAGTTCCGTATCGGATGTATTAGACTTGGGCTATCCAGTTGAGATGCTGGGCTTTTTTGAACAGTTTGGACATAGCCCAGAAAGCAGGTCTGGACTGGAGGTGCATGTTTGAGCAGCATCAGCCTGTGGATAACATTTAGATCCAGACTCACTTCGTGTGGCTTTGCAGGTCTGGTGTGATTCAGGAGAGGGGTCTCAAACTCAGGTGGCCTCAGGAACTACCAGGTGGATCATTTATATAGGGTAGGGGGACAGCTGCTGCCCCACGCAACGTCTTATCGCTCATAAGAATGAGGCTCCATGTGGCTGTGTGTTCACGTTTTTTATGAGCTGGCAGCTACATGGACAGCAACTTTTAAATGTTGGGAATGAGTCCCCTGATGCAGAGTCTAGACTCCCGAGAGCCACCTAGGCTAGAAATCGAGGTTTAGAAATGAACAGGATACACATGGAAGGTGATTGAAGCTGTGGGTACGGAGGTAGTTAGCCAGGGCAGGGTGGATGAGCAGAGAAGAGGGTCTGAACCCAAGCTCCACGGAATGCCTGCCACCCAAGAACCAGGCAGCAGAGAGGGGTGTGACGGAGCAACAGAAGCAATTGTGGGACCCCAGGTCATATGGTTATTATGGGCTCAAGTGAGCAGTCCTGTGTGTATGAACACTCTTAGTGCTGAGGCTGACAAGAGGGCTGGGGTGTGGGAGGTCTGGGGCCAGCCAGGGCAGGTGCATGATGAGCTAGCAGGAGCCAGAGCCCCAGCCAGGGGAGGGGATCTCGCAGCCAGCAACCCCGGGGGCAGTTACACCAGAGAAGTGGCCAAGGGGCAGGAGAAATGCCCGATTTTTCTCTCATTTCACTTCCAGTTTCCTGCCTTCGGCCAAACACACAGGAAACCAGTGGGTAAAGTCAGCATCCTGAGTACAGGGCAGGTCAGAGAAGGGTAGAGAATAGAAAGTGGGTCGAAGGAGTAGAGAATAACCAACACATGCCATATAAATGCTAGCTATTTATTATTTCTTTATTCTTTTTTTTTCAAAATTATTTTTTAAGAGGGTCTCACCCTGTCACCCATGCTAGAGTGCAGTGACGTGATCATAGCTCACTGCAACCTCGAATTCCTGGGCTCAAGTGATCCTCCCACCTCAGCCTCACAAGTAGCTGGGACAACAGGCATGTGCCACCATGCCCGGCTAATTTAAAAAAAAAAATAATTTAGTAGAGGCTGGGGGGCCGCGGGGAGGTGAGGGAGTCTCACTTTGTTGTCCAGGCTGGTCTCAAGCAATCCTTGCCTCGGCCTCCCAAAGTGTTGGGGTTACAGGCATGAGCCACCGTGCCTGGCCATCTTATTATTTCTGATACAAACTGTTGCTTGAGGAGCATGACTGGTTGTGCGTCTGTGGGATGAGGTGAGGAGGCCCTGCAAGTCAGTAGCCAGCTGCAATCATTCCTACTCAGGTTTGCAGAGCCCGCCCTTGGCTCCCTGCTAGCCCAGCTCACTGCTGCAGTTTCTCTCCAGGTGTGCCCTTTCCGAGCTCCTGGTGCCCCTGTCATCCCTCTTCTGAAGGGACATTTGCTCTCCCTGCTCACCTCCTGTGTTGACTCTGCCTCATAAACCACATTGACCTCAGTTCCGTGCCTCCCACTTCCCTCCCTCTCTGATCCAACGTTCTTCTTTGCTAACCCGCTCTGTGCCTCGGGCCTCACTGGGGTCGGTTTCATTTGCTCCTTCCCGCTGTGGAGATTCCTCACTCCCAGCATCTTTAACTACATATATTTGCATCTTCTGTTTTTGTTTTTGTTTTGTTTTGTTTTCAGACTGGGAGACTAGACCTGAAATGAAAGAGTTGGATCCAAAGAAGGACATTTCGGAAGACAAACCCTCTGTTGTTGGGGTGGCCACAGGGGGACCGACGAGGAACAGTGCCTGGGGTCCCGGCTCAGAAGGAGTGTGGGAACCAGGCAGCTGGCCAGAGAGGCGGCGGGGAGATGCGGGTGCCCAGTGCGAGCCACTGGGAATTCCCCAGGGGAACAAACTCTTGGGGAGCTCAGTACCCGGATGTCATGAACTGAAGGCATTTGCCAACCAAAGCTGTGTCCTGGTTCCACCACGGCTGGACGACCCCACAGAAAACGGCGCCTGTCCACCCATAAGGCGTGACAAGAACTTCTCCAGTATTTCGGACCTCAGTGAGCCCCCCACGCCCTGCGTGGAGAAGAAAACCTATGACTGCAGCGAGTGTGGCAAGACCTTTAGCCGAAGCTCGTCCCTGATAAAACACCAAAGGATCCACACGGGAGAAAAGCCGTTTGAGTGCGACACCTGTGGGAAGCACTTCATCGAGCGCTCGTCCCTCACCATCCACCAGCGGGTGCACACGGGCGAGAAGCCCTATGCCTGCGGGGACTGCGGCAAGGCCTTCAGCCAGCGCATGAACCTCACTGTGCACCAGCGCACGCACACGGGCGAGAAGCCGTATGTGTGCGACGTGTGTGGGAAGGCCTTCCGGAAGACCTCCTCTCTCACCCAGCACGAGCGGATCCACACGGGGGAGAAGCCCTACGCGTGCGGGGACTGCGGCAAGGCCTTCAGCCAGAACATGCACCTCATCGTGCACCAGCGCACGCACACCGGGGAGAAGCCGTACGTGTGCCCCGAGTGCGGGCGAGCCTTCAGCCAGAACATGCACCTGACCGAGCACCAGCGCACGCACACCGGGGAGAAGCCGTACGCCTGCAAGGAGTGCGGCAAGGCCTTCAACAAGAGCTCCTCGCTCACCCTGCACCAGAGGAACCACACGGGCGAGAAGCCCTACGTGTGCGGCGAGTGCGGCAAGGCCTTCAGCCAGAGGGAACCACACGGGCGAAGCCCTACGTGTGCGGCGAGGCGGCAAGGCCTCAGCCAGAGCTCCTACCCCATCCAGCACTAAGCTTCCACATCGGGGTGAAGCCGCTCGAGTGCAGCGAGGCAAGGCCTTCAGCAAGAACTCCGCCACGAGCCCAGCGATCCACACCGGGAGAGCTCACGAAAGCATCTGCAAGAGAAGCACTTCACGGGGCGCCGCCTCATCGTGCACCAGATCGCACACTGGGAGAAGCCCTACGTGTGCGGCGAGTGCGGCAAGGCCTTCAGCCAGAGCGCCTACCTCATCGAGCACCAGCGGATCCACACCGGCGAGAAGCCGTACAGGTGCGGCCAGTGCGGGAAGTCCTTCATCAAGAACTCCTCCCTCACTGTGCACCAGCGGATCCACACGGGCGAGAAGCCCTACCGATGCAGCGAGTGCGGAAAAACCTTCAGCCGGAACACGAACCTGACGCGCCACCTGCGGATTCACACCTGAGCGCCGCCGTGCAGGGCTCTCCCTGGCGGTGCTCAGGGCGGACGTCAGAGGGATGCGCGCTTTGTCAGCAGTGCTGTGAGAAGTTCTCCCCTGGGGTGGGGACTCGGGGTCAGGGGACCTCAGGAATGTGGGATTGTGGAGGGGCTGGCTGATCACACATGCCCCCTCCTTACTGAGCCTCAGAAAGCAAGCCCCTCGGTGTCAGACGTATCTGGGGACATTTCAGGGTTCACTGTAACTGAGCCATGGCCACTGGTAACAGACATCAGGGTTCCAGACTAGCTCTCTGAGTAACTGTCCTACGAGCTTGGACAGGTCACGCCTGCCTCCACATCTCTGTTTCTTCAATGGGAAAGTGGAGCTGGTGGAGGGGAGGGAGGAGGTATCTCCCCCTTTGTCAGATACACCCTGGAGTCCAGATGCAGCTTGTCACCATCTGCATTGTCTCGGTGGGTTAGGAGCGTGAGGGCTTTCCTATCCCTCCACCCACCATTTCCCTGCAGTGCGCGCTGGAAGCCACCAAGCTAGGAAGTAGGCAGGAGTTTGCCAATTGTTTGTGAGGGGGAAAAAAATTTTTTTTTCAGAGTTAGCAAATAACAGTAACTACTGCTTTGAATGCCAAAGTTTCTTAGAGTGTTCTGTTACGTTTTTTAAAAATAAAACTTCTAATTAAGGGAGACTATGTCATTTTAAACAGTCTTCTGTTTTGGCCAGTTGTCTGGTCAAAATCGGCTTCAGTGATTGTGGGAGGGGCAAGAGGGAAAAGAAACCGCAGCAGGTTTGATATTCAGGATAAAATATGCATGGATTCAATAAGTATATATATCTAAGCAGAGACTATTTTTATAGTGATTTTTGCAGCTAAATGTGAAGGCAACTGTCTTAAGTCCCTTCCTGCTACTGTAACAAAAGACCTTAGACTGGGTAATTTAGAAACAATAGAAATTTGTCACTCATGGTTCTGGATGCTGGGAAGTCCAAGATCAAGGCTCTAGCAGATTTGGTGTCTGATGGGATATGTTCTTCATAGGTAGTGCTTTGATGTGTGTCTTCACGTGGTTGAAAACAGCAGACTTCCTCAGTCCCCTTATAAGGGTGCTAATCCCAGTCACAAGGGCCCTGACCTCATGACCTCCCAAAGGTCCTCCCTCTTCATAGTGTTACACTGGGGATCATGTTTCCGACATGTGAATATGGGGAGGCACCAACAGACCATATCAGTAACTTCAAGTGAGTTTCCTAAGGCCAATTGAAGCTCTGTTTACACATGAGTGTTCTCCAAAGTATACTTTCTCTGGGGCCTTTTAGGCCATCCTTTTTATTTTACAATTTGATACTACTGGTTGCTAATGTCCTGGCATTTCCAGTTGTTCCACACTCCTTGACACTGGTGTACACGAAGAAATAATACAGAAAAAAAATTATATCAGCAAGCACATTCTGCAAGTGAGAAAAACGGCCACTCCGGCATGTATAAACAAGGTGGATCATTTTTCTTTCTTTCTTTCTTTCTTTTTTTTTTTTTTTTGAGATGGAGTCTCACTCTGTTGCCCAGGCTGGAGTGCAATGGTATGATCACAGCTCCCTGCAAGCTCTGCCTCCTGGGTTCATGCCATTCTCCTGCCTCAGCCTCCTGAGTATCTGGGACTACAGGTGCCCGCCACCACACCCAGCTAATTTTGTGTATTTTTAGTAGAGATGGGGTTTCACCGAGTTAGCCAGGATGGTCTTGATCTCCTGACCTCGTGATCCACCTGCCTCGGCCTCCCAAAGTGCTGGGATTACAGGTTTGAGCCACTGTGCCCGGCCAAGGTGGACCATTTTTCAAATTCTGGCCGTCAAGTGGGCCTCAGGGTGCGTTTGATCCAGGCTGTCCTCATTGGAGCCATAGCTCTGGTTCTCTGTGATTCTCTGGCTCTCCCTTCATGAGTTAGCATCATCCTCAGGCTGGCTTCCCACGTGGGATTGTGGTGGTTTCCAGCAGCAAGTCTTGATCAGACATTGTTTTAGTTGCATCTGTTGTGGGAATAAATGAGAATATGTATGCACTGCAGAGAATGGGGTGTTATGATGGTCAACAATTATTAGCTAATATGTACACAAGATCTCACTACCTTTTAGTGGCAAAATGGAAGGGGAAGACCTAAGGCCCTTTGGAGAGATGAAATGGCTCATTTAACCCTCACAAGATCCTTGAGGTAGGGATTCATGTGCATATCGTACAGATAAGGAATCTGAGGTTCAGTGAGGCAAGGTGAACTTCCTGAGGGCACACAGCATGGAAGTGGAGGGGCCAGGGTGTGAGCTGGGGGTCCACCTGGATTCTGAGGTCCGTGCTCCTTGCCTACACTGGACTACTTCTAGAGATGGACATACTGAATTTCCCAGGACTTGACTCCTGGCCTTGGTTTCCTGGACTCCCCAGTATGTGAAGCAGAGATGGGATCGAGGCCGCACCACCACCATCCCCCCTCTCCCATCCAGAGAACCGGCCGGGCCTCCTCGGAAGTCCCTCCTATTTCTTTTCCCTGCAACCCAAGCTAATGTGGAGGGCATTGAGACTCCTCTCGAGGGGATGTTGTGGTACCAGGTGGGTTTCACATCCCTGGTCTCCTGCCTCCCGGGCAAGTTCCCCACTCAGGGCTCCACGTTTCCCCAAGAGGAACCCCGAGGGGGCTGGAATAGCGGCCACATTGATGGAGTCACTTGTCCACCTCTGAGGGGGTGCTCTCATCACCCCCACTCTACAGATGAGGAAACAGGTTCGCAGAGGTTCAGCCAGATGCCCAAGGTCACACAGCTCCTGGATTAAAACCTAGTCTGACTGCAGAAGCTGGACTGCAGTCCACAGCACCATTCCACCCCCCAGTTCCTCAGTTGGGTACTTACTGAAGCCAAATTATTTTTACCCTCCTGAAAATGTGGATTCGGCGGGAATCAAGCAGGTCAGGAACCTACTTTTTAACAAGTCTCCTATCCCATACATCTGTCCAAGGCACTATTTAGGGTTATGTGCTGGCCTTTGGGTTCACCCTCACGGGGCCCTGTGTCTCTGCGTCCCCGGGCCTGACCCAAGCCTGGCCTTGAGGTAGAGGTTGTGGGTGCTGGGTGGGGTCTGAATGACCCCTTTACTCACTCAGAGTAAATGCCAGACTCCTCACAAACCCCTGTGTGATGCAGCCTCTCCCACCTCCCGTCCTGCTCCCTCCTCACTCTGCTCCAGCCACGCTGTGCTTTCGTCCAGTCCCAGCGCTGACCCAGCCAACTCCCACCGAAGGGACCTCTCCCATCCTGGCCCAGCACCCACAGTGAGCTTCCTCAGGTCTGTGATGCTCAGTTTCACGTGTTGGCCTGGCTGGGCTCCAGTGCCCAGCAGTCCCATCACACAGTGAGTCCTGGTGGTGCTGAGAAGACACTTCATAGACGTGGATGCCGCCCATGTCAGCTGACTTTAAGTAAACTATTATTATCTGTAATGTGGGTGGGCCTCATCTAATCAGTTGAAGGTCTCAAGAGCAAAACCAGTTTCTTGGAGAGGAAGAAACTCTGCCTCAGGATTACAGTGCCAACTCTGGCCTGAGTTTCTAGCCTACCAGTCTGCCTTATGGATTTGGGACTTGCCAGCTCCCACAGTAGCATGAGCCAGTTATTTAAATTAAATCTATATATAAAAGTATACATATGCCATATGTATAATAAGAAATATGAGGTATATAAAAGGATATGTATAAGATATACAGGTAGGGCATGGTGGCCCACACCTGTAATCCCAGCACTTTGGGAGGCCAAGATGGGATGATTATTTGAGACCAGGAGTTTGAGGCCAGCCTGGGCAACATAGCAAGACCTCATCTCTACAAAAACATTAGAAAAATTAACCAGGTGTGGTGGCGTGTGCCTATAGTCCCAGCTACTCAGGAGACGGAGGTGGGAGGATTGCCTGAGTCCAGGAATTAGAGGTCACAGTGAGGTGTGATCATGCCACTGGACTCCAGCCTGAGTGACCAGGGAAAACTCTCTCTCTCTCTCTCTCTCAAAAAAAAAAAAAAAAAAAAAAAAAAGTTCAGGCAAGGTGGCTCACGCCTGTAATCCCAGCACTTTGGGAGGCCAAGACAGGCCTGAGGTCAGGAGTTTGAGACCAGCCTGGCCAACATGGTGAAACCCTGTCTCTACTAAAAATACAAAATTAGCCGGGCATGGTGGCATGTGTCTGTAATCTCAGCTACTTGGGAAACTGAGGCAGGAGAATCACTTGAACCCGGGAGACGGAGGTGAGCCAAGATCATGCCACTGCACTCCAACCTAGCCGACAGAGTGAGACTGTCTAAAAAAAAAAAGCTATATAGGATATATAATGATATAATAAATATATATGTAATAGCATATATATGATATATCTATATGGGATATATATGATCTAAATAAGGCAGTCTATATGATAGGACATATGTAAATATATTAAGTTGTATCACTAATGCGTCTCTGCAGAACCCTAACTGATAGGAGGCCCTCCCTCATGACCCTTCTTCCCCTACTTCGTATTCCCCGTCGCACACACTGCAGCCTGTATCGATACCTGTTTTCTTTCTTTGCCATCCGTCTCCACACGGCATTCAGGTAGAGATCTGGATGTTACTGGTTCTGCCCACTGTTGTTTTCCCCGCACTTGGCACAGCACAGACACATAGTGGGTGCTCAGTAAATGTGTGTCGAATGAAAGAGTTAATGGTAGGTGCTCAATAAATGCTTCCTGGCTGAATCATGAATAAGCAAGTGAGTTTTCTGAGGCAGCAGCCCATTCCACTCTGGGCCTAATGTAGTCCCTGGAGACCTGGATCTGACTTGGATTCCTCAGCCTTTTGTCCACAGCCCCTGTCTGATTGAAAATGTGGGTTTTATTCTTATTCCGGGGAGGTGAGGCCCATAGGTCAGGAGATACCAGGGAGTGAAAAGAGAGTTGCTACAGTTCCTGGGAGGAGAGGGCGGTGCCAGGCCACACAGGGAAGCCCAGGGCAGATCAGGAGGCAGAGGGGCTGGGGGAAGACGGGGGCAGGAGCTTCTCTGTGGCTTCCACAGCAAGGAGCGGGATTGGCTTTTCTGAGTAATTTAGCGGTTCTGGGGCACAGGGGCTGCCCTGGCTGTCTGGTTCTCAGCCCTGGGTGATGAGGACAGGTGCACAGAGCCCCTGAGTGTGGGAGCCCAGTGGGGGAGGTGCTGGGTGTGGGCTCTGGCTTGGGTGATTTGCTTGTGAAAGGTACGCTGTCAGCGGGGTTGTTTGCTGTCTCTAGGAATCACCCAGATCTGGGAGGGACAGTCCCTCCAAGGTCGGCAAACCTCCAAAATATCAGAGCATCTGAAAATAAAAGGCATGGTTCATACACCTTTGCCCCAGCCCGAGATAATCCCCTGCATTCGGCCTTAGCCTGAGTAGCTGGAGAAGGCTCCTGACCCAGGCCTTGACTAAGGGGCAGCCTCAAGACTCAGGCTGCAGAGGGAAGGCCCTTCTGCTCCTCCCCGCTTGGAATCCCAATCAGAACCCGGGAACCCAGTGCGCCTGCCCCAGAGCATGACGAAGGGGCCTCCTGGTGGACACCCCTGGCAGCTGCGGATTCCTGGCCTGAGAATGGTCCAACTGAGAGGCTGGGCCTCAGCTCACAGCCTCAGATATAGGGGAGAAAGGAA